TCATAGTTGTAAACACAACAGCAAAATAGATGATGCATAAAAATAATCTATAATGGAATTACATGAAATTAAATGATTTAAAATTACACATGAAAATAAAAAAATACACATATTGCATTAAAATTGTTGTAAACGTAAAATAAAATTGACTAATGTAAAATTGATTTGAATTCAAATATTACTTCCCCCAAAACGACTCCACAAATGTTCAACCAAATCATGTTGCAATTGATGATGTCTTCTTCGATTTCAAAGTTTTCGATGGTTCTCAAAGTATTAATCACGATTAACATAATAATTTGGAAGGAGACCAGCTTGCACTTGGGGTCCATCTCTTTGACTCCTAGCTCTATCATATGATTCTTTTGCAGCCAATGTTATGTCATTTTTTTCATCCTCGATAACCATATTATACAATAAAATGCATGCTTGCATGACATATCCAATCTCATGTTTATCCCAAAAACGTGTCGGGTTAGAAATATTGCAAAACTTTTATGGAACACCGCAAATGCTCGTTCAATATCTTTTCTAGCACTTTCTTGAGAACGTTTTTCCAATTTGAGCTCTAAACGTAAACTATTGACAAAAATGGTTGCGTGGCAAAACTATTTACCAAACTAAGCTTCCAGGGTAAATCGCTGTCTCGGACAGCGTTTTACCCCTGGTTTTTTTTTTTAAAAAAATTCAACTGGTAAACGCTGTCCCAGACAACGTTTTACCTTCTGTATTTTTTTAAATTCAGTAGGGCATAAAACGCTGTCTCGGACAGCGTTTTATCCTTGGGTTTTTTTAAAAAAAAAATTCAATGGGTAAAACGCTGTCCGAGACAGCGTTTTATGCCCTGTTTTTTTTTTTAAATGAAACGCTGTCCGGGACAGCGTTTCATGGCCATATATCAGCATGTTCACTTCAGCAGAATGCGCAAGAACTCAACCTCAACCTCAACGCTTTCCCTCCTCCCTCTCACACTAAACCACGACCGTACTCAAACACCCGCATTGCCGCCGCCGCCCACCCTTGCGCCACCGCTGCTGCCGCCACCTTGCTGCTGCCCTCCTCCCTCTCACACTCACTCACTCAATTTCGTGGTTAGCCCTAAACTGAATTTAGTGTAATTGCATAGTTATTGTGGTTAATTATTGTGAATTGTATGTAATTGCTCTTACTTGTTGTTAATTCATGTCAATTGCATGTAATTGTTGCTAATTATTAATGAAAATGTGGTACATTGTTGATAATTATTGATGGTGATGTGGTACATTGTTATTGAAATTGTTCATGACATTGGTGAAGTTGATGATGGTGAAAATGTTGAAGTTGTTAATGGTTGAAATTGGTGAGAAGAGATGAAATTGTTGAAATTATTGAAATAGTTTAGGTTGAAATTGTTGAAATAATTCAAATTGTTCATGAAATTGTTGAAATTGGTGAAGTTGTTGAAAGTGAAGTTGTTATAGGTGAGAAGAGTCTTATTTCAGTGTTGATAATTTACCTCGCTCTAGATTTCGATAATCCTAAAATGTGTTTTGGTTATGTAGAATATGGCGTCACAAAATGTAGTTTTGTTATGCCGGTGGGGAGGAGAAATTCTGTTTGATGGACCCCGGGTCGAGTATAGTGGGGGAAATATGGAACCACTAACACTAGAACCGAACATGACTATGAATGATTTGATGAATGAGGTTCATAGTAGTATTGGTTCAGACCCGATGACCGTTGACGTACACATTAAAATGAGGTTTGAGACCGGCAATGGGGTTCAAGTGTTACCGGTTTCTACGAATAAGCATGTGACAGCTCTAAGGAACGTTGTTGCAATGAAGGGTGTTCCCACTGAAATATATGTGGAAACGGTGCCTATATGTACCCAACAAAGTACTCGGCCAGAACAACAATCTACACGTATTTCTGGGTACAACACAGAGCCCTTTCAAGTGCCGTCACACGACATTCCATCAACTGAATATGGGATGGGATCTTTCAGTCGAATGCTGCACGACGATCAATTTGACATGCCATTTAGTTCTCATATTGCTTCACCTGTACATGGGGGGGCATATTTGGCATTGACTGGCGAAGCTGGGCCTTCGACATCAAACACCGTCACACCTACAGCGATGCAATTGCATAGTTATTCGCCTACGCAAGATGATGGTCAGGCTTCACCGTCTCAGCATGCGCCGAATCATCTTGAAGATATTGTGAATAACGAACTTTCTGTGTATGATGTGTACACAAATGATGAGGCCGATAGCGGAGAGGAGGAAGATGGACTTCATAACATGGATGTAGAACCTGCTCGGATGGAAGTGGGCGAGCCCCTGGTTAGAACTCCCATTCCTTGGTTCAGTCAGGTGAACGAGAACTACGAAGTTGATCAGGATTGGGCCGAATCGGGTAGTCATACGTCGTTTGTTCCGGGGGGGGGAATTTGAGAAGGGGATGTGGTTCGAAAGTAAGAAAGTGCTCCAAGAAATGGTGAAGATGTATTCCATACAGAGGAATCAGTTCTACACCACAATTACATCGAATGAGAGTGTGCTTCATTTGCGGTGCAAGAAAAAATGTGGTTGGATGCTACGGGGTACCAAATCTAGTAAGCACTCGCGTGGCTTCGCCCTAGTCACATACAAAGGTCCGCACCGGGAGAACTGTGTCACGGAAGTATTGTCCACTGATCACCCGCATTTGGATTCGTCGTTAATATCAGATTTTGTGAAGTCCTTTGTTCGGAAAGATCCGTCTTTGAAAGTTGAATTCATACAAGAACTCATCTCCAAGCAATTTCATTTCGATGTCCCGTACCGGAGGGCATGGTATGCAAAGGGGAAAGCAATAGCTGATATTTACGGTGATTGGGAGAGTTCTTACGACAGACTTCCGCACTTCATGCAAGCCCTCCAACAGTCAAACCCGGGAACGTGTGTTGTGTGGAAGTACAAAGCGTTGGTTGACGGTGTTTACTACAGCAACATGGAAGTGTTTGAAAGAGTGTTTTGGGCGTTTGGCCCTTGTATCGACGGTTTTAAACATTGTATGTCAGTTATCTGTATCGATGGGACGCACTTGTACGGGAAGTACAAAGGAACACTGTTGGTTGCTACAAGTGTTGATGCAAACTTCCAAGTATTTCCTCTAGCATTTGCGTTGGTTGAGGGGGAAAACACCTCCAGCTGGTCTTGGTTCCTGGGTTGCATTCGGGTTCATGTCACTCAACGAGATGGCCTTTGTGTTATATCTGACCGACATCCTGGGATCATTGCAGCAATGACTGATCCGAACGTTGGATTTACCGAGCCGCGAGCCTATCACAGATTTTGTGTTCGCCACATAGCTTCTAACTTGAAGACTCACGTGCGACGAAACGACATGAGAGATATGTTCAAGGCTACGGCGTACCAAAGGCAGGAAAGAAAACTACACGGCGATCTGTGTTTCATTAGTGAGGCGTGTAACAAGGCAATGGAGTACATTGTTCAAATTCCGTTCACCATGTGGTCCCTCTTTCACGACGCTGGACGTAGATACGGGATTTGCACTACTAACTTCTCTGAGACATTCAACAACGTGTTGAAGGGAGCACGGTTTCTACCGATCATGTCCCTAGTCGAGTTAACTTTTCATAGAGTTAACAAATATTTCACTTTGAGAAGGGAGTCTTCTGAGGCAAGATTTGAACAGGGACTTGCATACCCCCCCAAGGTCACTGCCATTCTAGAGAAGAACACCGCAAAAGCCAGATATCACAGAGCGGATGCGTATAACCGTCGATTGCATATTTACCAAGTTACAACAGAAAGGGGAGACCGACTTGGTAGTAAAGGAGGCCATAAACATACTGTTAACTTTCAGTTAAGAACGTGTACCTGCAACAAACCTACGATATTTCACCTCCCATGTTCTCACGTTCTAGCCGTATGTGCAACGTACTCACTATCAGAGCGGCCGTGGGTTGACCCGGTGCTGCAATCGGAGGCATACACGAGCACATACGCGCCGCAATTCTGGCCAATCCCTTGCGAGACAACCTGGACGCCCTATAACGGTCCCAGAATCATTCCCGACGGGAGCATGTTGCGTGGAATAGGGCGACCAAGGTCAAAGCGCATACGTAATGAAATGGATGAGACTAACCGGCCCGCGAGCAAATGTAGTCGTTGTCACGTTCAGGGCCATAACCGGGCAACGTGTCCATCGAGACCCTCAGAGGACCCATGACTGTTAACTGAAATTCGTTGTAATCGTAGATGGAGGAATTATTTTGTAATAGAAAACTTTGATTTAATAACATTTGGAACATTTTGATTTAATAACATTTGGAACATTTGATCGTTAACATTTTGGTTAATTGCTAATGCGTTAACTCTGTTGGGATTTGTTAAATTGCATGTGAACAGATACGATGGACGGTAGGGCTGTGGAGCTGGCTGTTGTGGTGGCTGTTGGAGGACTGCAGCATGCAAGCTGTTTGCTGAAGCTTGTTTTCTGCCTGGATGCTGGTTGCTGTTTCCAGCAGAAAAGACAGCGCTTTATGTTCAAGCATAAAGCGCTGTCTGAGACAGCGTTTTATGTTCAAGCATAAAGCGCTGTCTGAGATAGCGCTTTATGTTGAACATATAAAAAAGTTGTAGTTGAATTTTTTTTTAAAAAAACCCAAGGATAAAATGCTGTCCGAGACAGCGTTTTATGCCCTACTGAATTTAAAAAAATACAGAAGGTAAAACGTTGTCTGGGACAGCGTTTACCAGTTGAATTTTTTTTAAAAAAAAAACCAGGGGTAAAACGCTGTCCGAGACAGCGATTTACCCTGGAAGCTTAGTTTGGTAAATAGTTTTGCCACGCAACCATTTTTGTCAATAGTTTACGTTTAGAGCTCAAATTGGAAAAACGTTCCTTTCTTGAAGTATTCATGTCAGATAATAATATGCTAACTATATTTTAAACGACGTCACAAATTGTATTTTAAAAAAGCCGCGCTTTCGTAATGCCCAAGATTAATAACCACAATAAAGATCCAGATCACATAAATCACATTACACTGAACTTTTCCATCGTCGTCATCTACATGAATACAACCCTATCCCCCGAACAATAGACCCCACCACACCAACCACCCAACCCAAAACTCCATGACTCGAACACTAAAACCCAAAAACCCTTTATTTTCAAAATCTAAATAAAAAAAAATAATTTAAGTGTCCCAGAAAATTCCACAAATCCACACTTCATCAAACGACACCGTTTCAATCCTCCAATGTCAAGCCTCGATGCGACGCCGTTTCTGTCACCGGTAACACCCGACTTACCGGCGACGATGAGAGCGCAGGGGCTCCGCCACGCAGCGCGGATGATACGGCGCGCAAGCGGCGGAAGAAGGTCGATGAGAGCTCCATCAATGGCGGTGAGAGAAACGGCGGCGCAGGAGATTGAAGAGAGACAAATTGATTGGGCTTATTCTTCCCCTGTTGTTGCGCTTGACGCTGCTTGGAATTCCGCCTTTGTGTTAGCTGCTTCTGCTGCGCTTTTTCTCACTTGGTCGGATACTCTTCGTCTTCCTCTTAGGGTTTGGATTGTTGGTTATGCTCTTCAGTGTCTTCTCCATGTTTTCTGTGTTTGTGTTGAGTTTCGCCGTCGTCGGAGGGTTCGGAATGCTGTTGAGCACGGCCGTGATGATTACTTTGAGGAATCCAGGTGATTATTTGTTAATTGTGATTATTTATTTGTTTGGAATTTAGGAAGAATTTGATTATTATTTAACTTTTTTTGGAAGTATGTGGTTGAGAATCTTGAGATTACAATTTGGAATTGATCATATTTTTTAATTTTTAATGTGCAATAATTTTACTTTTGAAATTACCTAAAAGCTGAGAAATGTGCGGATGATATTTATAACATATCAAGATTTTGCGCCTTTATATTTAGTAATTACGAGTCTACGATGGTATGTGTTTATTTCCTTTGTTTCACTAAAAATTGCAAGTTTGCTACACTAGCAAGAGACGTGGTTTGATAATCCATGTGATTATACAAAGAGTAAGTTTGGAAAATACTTTGACACATCTCTTTTTTTCATGTTTGCCAATAAACAATTTTAATGATTAATATTTCTAATTATCAATATGTACAAATTATTAAAAGTTGATAGTATGAAAATATATCTTGAGACGGGTTGCAAATCGGAAAAGTGTTTACATCTGAAAGTATCAAAGTGTTGCAATTTTAGTGAAATGGAGGAAGGATGACGCAAATTGTATTATCCTTATCATATTGGCCAAAAAAATTTAAAAGAGAAGTTAAGTATGACGATGTTATTTTTAATCATTTCAGGTACATAATTTAATATATGTAACTTTTTTTTTTTCAAAATAGTCCTTTGATTGCATTAAATGTATATCTCCGAGATCATTTAGGTGGAGCTCAGGTTAGTTTTTTTGGAGATTTTTTCCCTTTGATGTTGGAGATTCACAAAGGAGTGAAGGACAATGATGTAAAACATGTTTGGCTCCAAGTTAGGTTTTACCTTTAGACTTTAAGCAATTAAGATAGGTGGCATCTGCTTGTAGGAGGATATGTTAAGGGTTGTGAGATATGGATACTAGAAGTTGTTCTAGTTATATACTATGGCATAAGAGGAGATGCTTCTTCTTCGAGAGTTAAGATTGTCTTTAGACCCTTGCAAAGCATCACGAAAGAAATTTATGATAGGAATGAATGTAGTTGAGATGTGTGCAAGCTGCCAAGTTTTACTTTGGGGGCAGTCGGGCAGATACACTAAAGAAACGCTCTTTTTTTTTTTTTTTTTTTTTTAATTTTTATTGATCCTTACTTCGCTGCAATTATTTTTACCAATTCAAACTATTTTTTATTGATTTAAACTGATTTTTGTGAAACAAATTTATTTATTTCAAAGTATTCAAACTGAATTATGCTAATGAAACTTTTTTTTTTTTAAGACCACCAAAATTGATTTTAACTGAATATTAATTACTTGAGAAAAAGGTCCAAAATCCAAAACATGCGGATGAAGGTGTAAGGGATGTCCTGGCTCTAGATTTATGTGGATGTTTCGGCTTTGTACAATGGTGGAAGATGGATTTATGTATGCTGCCTGTCCACAGGGATTTTGTGACTTCGTTTAGACTTTTTTTTTCTCGCTGTTTTCACTCTATGGATGTTGATTCTTAAATTCTGATCCTGTCAAATTGTATCTTCAATGGTGGTTATATATATTTGAACAGAAAGAATACATGACATTTGGCCTATAAGCCTGTGGCAGTAATAAATTGACTAAATTGTGCTCTAAATTTTAATTTTTTTTTCTTTTTCTTTATTATTTTCATACTTGTAGAGGAAGAGATTACACAGCTGGACTTTTATAGTTATTTACTCATTTTCTCCGATGATAGTCATTATACTATTCTTTGGAGCTATTTTTATTTTATATTATTTTGATAAGCAAGAGATTGGGTTATATTGGATTATTAAGCACTCAAAAAAAATGCACTTTGCTTGTTGTTTCTTTTGCAGTACCAAGATAAAGCATTTGGAATCTGCAAATACATTGTTTTCATTTATGTGGTGGATACTTGGATTTTATTGGATATGTGTGGGTGGCCAAGCCTTGCAGCAAGACTCCCCCACGCTTTACTGGTATGCTCTGGTTCAGATTCATTCTTTTGTTAAAGTTTGGAAATGAGGTGTTAAGTAATACGGAGTATGATATTAACTTTCACCTTGTGATGGAGCTTGCAGGCTTTGCATAGCATTCTTGGTTCTCGATCTGTTTTTTGTCATCTTCTGTGTGGCCCTGGCGTCTGTTATTGCTGCTGCAGTTTGTTGTTGCCTTCCATGTATTATTGCTATCTTATATGTTTTGGCAGACCGGGTAACTCTCTATCATGCTTATTTCTTGTTCCTCGCTTTAGTTTTCACTTTACAAATGGCCTGCTTATTCCTTGATGTTAACACAAACTTCCCATGAGACCAATTCTTCTGTTAGACTGTCTCATGAGAAGTTTGCACGAGACATGCTCTACGCAAAATTATTACTGGCATTATTAATTTTCTGCTTGATAGGGTGATATTGTGCATGTTTCGAGTGAACATTAAAAGTTTTGGTAGCTTTTCTTGGTTTTTATTGTTGTGTTAGTTAGCTTATTTCACACGACTCACAGACGCCTTCGCCCAAGACAGTTGTATGATAGACAGTTCTAAAGAGCTTGATAGAAGATTATTATTTTCTAGTCAGAGCACCCTCAAAAAGTTGCCATAAAGGCAAGCTGCCAAATTCAAGTGTTTGATTTTATTAGTAATTTACATTCCTGTGGCCTGTAAATATAGCTTTACTTCTTTAGGTGATCTTATTTGGTGATTGGATTGGGGGAAAGCATTTAAGGGGTAAGCAGGTCTCAACTGAGGCTGCAGATGAGTAGAGGTCACTTGGTGCTTGAACATAGAGTTAGCAACCTCATTTGGGGGAGGGCTAATAATTGTACTCTTATTTGTAGGTAATTGGCTCCTACTACCTCCTATATTAATTCTCCTCATTCCAAGCATATTATTGATAACTAATGCGTTTTATAACTATAATGTGACTGAACTTGTATGCTTTGCTATTGTTCACTTTATTCAACATCCGCTTCCATCGATTATTATAAAAAAAAATTATAATATTAGGTTGAATTAATTAAACCTATTCAAGGTGAAAAAACTTGGTGTATTTGTTAATGCCAAATTGGAGCAATGGAGACAAAAGTTAGAATCTTCGGGGTTTAGACTAAGTCATAGCAAGACTGAGTGCTTGTAATGTAATTTAAAATTACAAGGAATTCAAATGAGGATTAGTAACATTGGATGTTAAGGACGTGCTATGAGCGAGTGTTTTAAATACCTTGAGTCGATTCTTTAGAAGAGTGGAGAAATGATTTAAGATAAATCATGTAACCCATATGATTAAGTCTGGTTGGATCAAATAGAGGTATTGCGTGATTGAAGCATACTTTTGAAGTTAACGGAATTTTTTTTATTAGCCGTCTATTAGACGAACATTCTTATATGAGCCAGAACATTAAGGAAGGATCATATGAGGAAGATGAGTATAGTAGAGATGGATATGTTGGAATGCCTTAAAGGATAGAATTAGAAATGAAGATACGGAGGAATGTTGGAATTGCGGATATTGAAGATAAAATAAGGCAGGGGGAAGACCAAAGATAACTTGGATGGAAGGAGTTGAGGACATGAAGAAGCTGGGTTTGCAAGTGCATATTATTTGGGTAGAAGGGAATGGAAGGAAATGATCATGGTTGGCGAGTATGGGAGATAAATTTTGGTTCATGTAGCTGATGCTATATATTGGATTTAGGCTTCGATTGTTGTTGTTATTGTATAATTTGAGGATGGAGCTTAGAGCATGGACAATGGTGACTTGATTAGGGTCCTGGTTCCTCTCTTATTATGACTTTGGGATCTTATTGCAATGGTGGGTGGTGACTTTTAGTCCGCAGATTTTCCTAGGCCGACTCCTCAAAAAAATTGGGTTAAGACAGGAATCAATCGGAATCAAATAATCAATGCATGTCACTATGCAGGTTCCACTAATGTATTAGTATCCAAATTGATCCATTTGTACCTAAATGCATTTGTATCCAAATTGATGTATTAGTGTCACTGTTTCAGCAGGGGGTAACAATTATTGATGTTTTGGATCTAACAAGCGCACAATTTAGGACACTCTATAATCAGGTCGAATGTGAAACAAACCTACAACATATGCTTGGTGAACGAGTAATTAACACTCTTTTCTAGGTAGAATTTTCAATAGTGCTTGAATAAAAAAACTATCAAGCCTTAAGTATGGCTTACTGACTAAAATAATAATCGAAAATTAAGAGTAACACCTACTGGAACATGGAAACTCCCTCTGTGTGTGTATAACTTATCTCACGTAAGAAGGTGAATATACTGCGATTTGTTATTCGTAAAGCGTAATAGAATATAGAAGTAGGACTTGACTTTCTTAAATACCTAATAAACAACTAGTAACTGTGAACTAATGTGTTATTGCTGCTGCTGAAATTTATAGCTGTTACTAGCTCACTTGTCATGTTATTCTTTTCTATATATTCCCAATTGTGATAAATTTGCTGCGTTTTGAAGCAGGCGGGAGCATCCAAAGAAGATATTGATCTTCTAAAAAAATATACATTCCACAGGGATGATTGCAAGAATAAGAATGATGAGGAAACAGAAGAACCAAGTGGAGGGATAATGAAGGAGTGTGGAACAGAATGCCCTATTGAACATAATTTAACTGCAGAAGATGCTGTATGTTTTCTTATTATCATACAATTTCTTGCTTTTAATCATTTTTTATCTTCATCTTACTTTCTATGTCTACTTGACATTCCTAGAATTTTTTGTATGCTTATTTCCTAATTGCACACCAAAGGATAAGTTTAACTTGTGATGTAAGAGTAATGCACCAACACAAGAGTCTTCCTTAGGCCCTTTTAGTAACTGCCATTATAGGAGCCATGCTGCTCCCAGGATTCTTTTTAAATCTCTGCTACACTCAAGTTCTTAACCAATCCTATGCTGTCAGTGTTCAACTAAACAGACTCAAAAGAGTGAAAGCTAAGTTTATTAGTGCAAAGTTATGAAGATGGCGCTTGTGTTTGTGTGTGTATGAACATTTAAACTTAATAAGATATTATTGACACTTGCCTTTTTGTTTTTTAAGATAAGATATTATTGAAACAAAGTTTCTTCCTCTGTTAGTTTTCCTTTAGTTTTAAATAATCAGTCCAATGTCATGAGAATTCTTCCTTCCATTTTTGGCTCGTTTTAGATTGAATTTAGTCGTCATCAAAATTATCTGCAGAGTGTTGGAAGGATTTGTCTCTGGTTTAAGAGGATTTTAAGTAGTTGTTTTGCCATTACAGAGAAGTTGGGTGATACAGGCCATACAGCAAATAGAGTGATAGAGAGGTCCTGGGGAGGTGTGTGGAATGAAAAATCAAGTTATTCGAGGGCGCACATATGATTGGGGAAGCCATTCTAGAGAAGTCGGGTGATACAGGCCATACAGCAAATACAGTGATAGAAAGGTCCTGGGGAGGTGTTTGGAATGAAAAATCAAGTTATTCGAGGGCGCACATATGATTGGGGAAGGAACCTTAGGGAAGGGTGTTTGTTTCTTAATGACTTCAAGAGTGGCAGTTTCTTAACAATATATGGATTACAGTTCGGCTGTCATATTAAGTTATTTTTGTTCTGGTTTTGGATGTGCTTTTGGGTGTCAATGAAGACTATCTTCCTCGGCATATGTTTTCTAATTGCATTGCTTTTTAGGATGGTTGGGGCAGGTCCACTGTGAACTATAGGTTCAAACTTTGGACTTACTGCAGAGTCAGAAGGTAGAAAAGGTTATATCTGGAACTGCAAATATAATGGCAACTTGATGAATGGGGAATTGCCTGAAGTTCTCATTAAAACTTTAATTGAAGGTCTAAAGAAATGCCGGTGGACTTAGATATGGTGAAAAATTCTAGGTTGCTAGCTAGTTAATAATAAAGCACCAATGAAGTAGAGCAGAGGTGATAATACCTTTCATAAAGTGTATCCCTGCTAGGAAGCACAGAATTACATTATTAGGTGGAATCTGGAATTAGTGAAAGTGGCGGTCATTGGAGACGTGAAGCACAAAGTTAGGTTTACATAAGATGGACACATTAGGAAATGATACCCCGATCTTTAGTGATTAGGTCTCAGAAGCAAGATCAATTGGTTAAATTAAAGAAGAAGAGGACCTGAGACTTGGGGATAGGTGACCAAACACGACTTCACTCATAAAGCCTTGAAGGCTATAGAGTATGTACAGTTTGGTAGAGCTGTTTCAGCTACTTCGTTGCCTTTTCTGTCGCATTTTTCTATTTCCTTTTGTTATCTCTTGTTGATTTGTTTCCTAAATTTATTACCTGTTCATTGTTTACTCCAACCCTATTGCTAGAACACATTTACTCATTTTCCGTTGTTTTGCTGTCTATGTGGCTGTCTTAGTCATTATTCTAATCTGTTGGTGTAATTTTTTGGAAAGAATGTCTTTTTGTGGCCTTATGGGAGTAACCTGTCCCGTATTCTGTTTAGGCAATGTCTTCTTTGGCTGTCATCAAACTACTTTTTTTTTTTTGGAAGAGAAGGGCTGTTATTGTTCTTGTTGTTTGTTACAATTATAGGCATTCCTTCAATGGATTTTAAAAATCTCCTGTTCATATATGAAATTTTAAATAAACCTATTGACTCCTTTTAATGAAACTAAAATCTATTTCAGGAATGTTGCATTTGCTTATCTGCATATGAAGATGGCATTGAGCTTAGAGAGCTTCCTTGTGGTCACCATTTCCACAGCTCTTGTGTGGAGAAGTGGCTACATATCAACTCCACCTGCCCACTCTGCAAGTATGATATATCGAAGCGTTACAGTCCAGATGGAGAAGTTTAGACTTTTTAGGAGTGAAGATTTTGTTGTGCAATTCATAGCAACAGGTAAAAATGTTGTACGTGTAAATAAATTTAAGTTCATATCTTCATATCTGCTTTTTTTATAGATAGAATAAGCCTTGAGCCTGTAATCTCCCTAAAAATATACTGATGTTCTTTAAGGGTTTTAATGTTGTAAATGAATTTTTTCGTGGTTGCTTCAATACCAATATGAGCAACTTATCTTTGTTTATGTTATATCTTTGTTTGAAAGATCATTCGTCAACCCTTACTGTTGGTAATTTTTCGGAGCTAAGAAAGAGAGTGAGAAAATTTCTAAAACATAGAGAGTGCTAAGTACTAATTTCAAGGCATTTTTTCTTTCTAAACTGCTTTATAGACTGAAAAGACTTAAAGATCTCATTTACATTTTGAATGGTTTCTAATGTACAATTATAACTATTAAAATATATAGTTTTATGTACAACTTTAATTATTTCAGTAAAAATAATTTCAATTCAGAAAAATAAGTTTAGTTTAGTAAAAATAATTTCAGTTTAGCAAAAATAATAATTCGTATGAAGAAAATAGGGTCTTATTCTTTAAACCATTGAAACAATTACGTTTCACTTATTTATCCTATCCTATCCTATCTATACAAGTATAAAGTGAAAGGGTCTTTTGGGTAATAAATTTCACTATCTCCAAATTACCTCTTTAAATTGGAAAATTATCATTCTTAATTACAATTAAAAATTACGATTTTTTTTAAATGGCCTATCATAACTACCCTATAATAACTACTACTTTTTTTTACATCAAAACACTAGAATGTCCTCTATCCTACTCCCTCTGTCCCTTTATTTTTGTTCCATTTGACTTTGCATGGTCTCCAAGACACGTATTAAAACGTTTATATCTTCATTTTCTTACGCGTAAAAATTATAAAAAGTTGATATTAATTAAATTTACAAAGAGACGAATTAAACAAAATCTCAAATGACTATATTTCATTTTGAAGAACAACGAGAATTTACGGTCAAAGTTTTCAAAGTTTGACCCACATGTTGGCAATGGGGCAAAAAATTAGTGACAGATGGAGTATATATAAAGGGCCTATTTTGTTCAGCTTAATTTCAGTTCAGTCCAACTCCAATCAGTTCAGTTCAGTTCCTAATTTCCTTCTCTCATAAAGAATTCATTTCAACTCTATTCAGTTCAGTTCATTTGTTTTCAGTAAATCGAAACAAACCCAAAGTGAAAGGGGATTTTGGGTGATAAATTTCACTTTTCCAAAATACCCTTCTCAGGTTTTTTTTTTTTTTAATTTAAAAAAAAAACCTTCCATTTTGGTTCAAAAAAAAAAAAAAAACTTCCATCTTTTTATTTTTTAATATTTTTTTGAGGGAAGTCAAATTTTATTATTTAGCCTACATGACATCATCAAATTTTTTTTAATAACATATTTTTTTATTATATTTATCAACAATTTTTAAACCCACTAATATTCCCCATTAATATTTTTTTAATTAGAATTAAGGACTATATATATAAAGTGAAAGGGCCTTTTAGGTGATAAATTTCACTATCCCCAAATTATCCCTTTCATGTTTTTTTTTTTTAAATGGCCTATCATAACTGCCCTATAATAATTACTCCTTTTTTTTACACAAAAACACCAGAATATCCTATATATAAAGTGAAAGGGGGTTTTGGGTGATAAATTTCACTTTTCCAAAATACCCCTCTCATATTTTTTCTTTTCTTTTAAAAAAAACCTACCATCCTTTAAAAAATAATACCCTCTTGGTTCAAAAAAAAAAACTTCCATCTTTTTTGTTTTTTTTTTAATATTTTTTGAGGGAAGTCAAATTTTATTATTTAGCGACATCATCACCATATTTTTTTTTATTATGTTTATCAACAATTTTTAAACCCACTAATATTACTCACTAATATTTTTTAATTAGAATTAAGGAGATAATATTGTGGAAAAAATCAATGAATCGACCTTGATAGATTACTTATATTGCACACGTACGCACGTCTTTTAGCTTGTATTATACTTCGTATAAAGTGAAAAGGGGTTTTGGGTGATAAATTTCCCTTTCTCAAATTATGCCTCTCATTTTTTTATTTTTTTTTATTTTTTTTAACAAAAAACTACTATCCTTAAAAAAAAAAAAAAAAAAAAACCTACCATGATTGTTCAAAAAAAATAAAAAATTCCATCTTTTCTTTTTAAATTTTTTTAGGAAAGTTAAATTTTATTATTTAGCCTAAATGACATTTTAATAACATCTATTTTCTTTTTATCAACAATTTTTAAAACCACTAATATTTTTTTATTAGAATAATTAAGGAGATAATATCGTGGAAAAAAAAACAGAAAATCGAGCTTGATAGATTACTTATATTACACACGTACGTATTGCGTGCGTCTCTTAGCTTAGTTATTTAAATAAGGAGAGAGTACTAAATATCTATTTTTCCCTACCTTTTTAAAACTTTAACTAAACACTTATGAATAGTGTTACACCAATTATATCCCTTGTCTATTTATATAATTACCCCTATTTATGCATGCGAATTACATGTGTGCCATTTTAACCTTTTTTTTTTACCATCAGTGGCGGATCCAAGATTAGATTAATAGGTTGTCCCATCGTCCAACGACCGCATATAATATATTAAACAATAACCAAAGCTTTATAAATAAACCATATATATGAAGTTTATATATACATAAAAAGGTTCATTTTCATAAAGTAATACAAATTTATATTACAACGAACGAAAAAGTAATTAGACTTATTACAATTGCTCTTGGGGATTTTCATGTTTTGATAACAATTAACAATAACAATGCAACTTTAATTTACTATTCTCAATAGAATTTTCGATAACAACTAGTCAACTACACAATTCATACAATAATTAATCAATTTAGAATCCTAATTGTGAATGTAACAAATAATTGATTCAAATCAATAACTCTAAATAATGATTTATAAGCATTATAAGCTGAATAACAACAACAAATCAACAATAATATAAAGCTTCAAAACAATTAGCATAAGAAAATAAGGAAGTACTTAGCAAGAACACTCATTATTCATTATAATACCCAAATTCAAATTTCAAAATTAGTGATTTAGGTTAGTAATACCTAAGTTTTGTAGTTAATGGGTAGTTAACGGAGCCGCGGAGGCAATATGGAGGCCGAGCTGCGGCAGATCGATCGAACAGTGGTGTCGGAAGCCCAAAACGTGACTTCAACCATGGATGTTGGGTGTTTTTCATTTATTTTGTAAATAGTAATATTGTGGAGTAAGATGTAAGGAGGTTAGAAGGGAGAATGGGAGACAATTGGACAAAATGTCTAACAAAAAATTCCTTTTTTCAGTAAAGTATATTTGTTTATTTATTTTATTTTTATGTTTTACTGTAATTTTCATGTGAAATCTTTGTTACTACTTACAGAGTACCAGGTAGGAGTAGACGAGTAGTATGTAATGTAGGCTGATTGTTTTACTTTTGTTTTTTTTTTAAGAAATATTACTGTGTCACAAGACCCACCATGACTAAAGGTGGGTCCGCCCCTATTTACCACATGTGTAGCGTACTTTTTTTTTTTTTTTTTTTTTTTTTTTTTTGCTTGCCTTTTCTTCCTTACCTTTAAAAAGTTTGTGATAACTTATTAACTCTTATAAATAGTGTTTTGACAGTTATATCCTTTAAATTGTTTATTTACTTATATGTTCTTATTACTGTTAGTTGACTATATTATTGAACTCTTAAGAATAGTGTGCAAATATTTATTGAAAAAAATGGTGTCCTTCGAACAAGTGTATTATTCCGATAGAAGGTTCGAAATTGAATTAATTAGGAAACTAATTATTCAGTGAAGTCAAGTGATCAGAATGTCTAGCTGGAGACCGCTTTCAATCAGTAAGATTAATGTATAATTAATCTTACAGCTTGCTCTTAACTGAACCCTTCGGGTCACACCCAATCGTGTAACCGAACAAAGGCGATGAATTAATCCGAAGGATTAAATAAGTCGATAAGGATTATACGAACTAAAACGTCGGATTCCGAGCTTAGAGCGTCGAAGCCGAGCGTCAGATGTCGAGTCGATTCTAGGAATCGACGAGACGAAAAATAAAGTTAAGCAACAAATCAACGCATAGCTGTAGCCTCGCTTTGGCCTAGCCAAGCGAGGGCTAGGCTATAAAGGGTTGCTAGCCTAAGTGCTAGCAAGGTCGCAAGCCCAACATCCCTATGCGGGTGCAAGATGGGGCTTGTTGGCCGAGCTTGCGTGCTAGCAAGGCCAGTCGCATGCTAGCGCGCTGGGCCTCGCTAGCTGCTGCTAGTGCTAGCTAGCCTGGGCTGCTTGCGTGCAAGAGCAGCAGCAGCCTCGCTTCGCACAGCAGCTCGCATGGCTTGGGAGGCCTGCTTGTGCGGGGCAGCAAGGCCATGGGCTGCTAGCAGGCCCAGCCGAGGGACCAGGCCGCCAGCAAGGCAACCTTGGTGTCCAAGGCAGGTCGCACCAGCTGGCGCGCTATGGTTGGTTTCGGTTTTGTGAGGTGGGCTTGCTTGGGGAGCAAGGAGAGTTGTGGTCCTCTCCTTGTGGTCCTCACCCAGTCCCTCCCTCATGTTAACACTTGTTGCTCGACTATTGATTAGCTTATTCAATTTAATTTATAATTAAATTAATTGCTTATTTTGTCATTTTACCAACTTTCCCACATGGAAAGATGATTGAAGTTTTTGGGAATGCTTTGCCTATAAATACCAACTTTGGGAGTTGGGAATTTACACAATTTGAGTAGAACTCAATAAGGCATCTCTCTAAAACGTGAGAAAACCTTTAAGTTCGTAAAACTCCAATTTTGGCTCGGTCTCGTCTAAGCTACAAGATAGGAGCCGTGTTCGGGCGCGTAGGTGTACGAAGTAGGAGGATTCGCACGTGCGTGTCTTGATCTTTTCGAAGGTCGTGCTCGGGCTCGTGTGAAGCACGCTACGAGGGTAAGAATGTCTTTCCCCTACTTCTCTCTCTCTCTCTCTCTCTCTCTCTCTCTCTCTCTATGTGTTTATCATTTTATTAATTGCATGTTTGTTTGTTTAGTTGTATTAATTATGCATGTAGTCCGGGCGAGTTTTGGTTCCGCACGGTGCTTACGCATCGTAAAACCCAACATTTATACCCCTAAAAAAATTTTGTTTACATATTTTCCCTCATTTTCCTTTAATGTTATCAAAAACTAATGTTGTGAGTTGTGACATAAAACCAAACCGAAAGAGATTCTCGGATATGACTAGCTATGCGCGCGTTAGCCACCCTAGTAATTATATAAAAAGTCAACAGAAGAGGTTGTGGTGTCCTTTAAAATATCAATTGTACGGTTATACCCTTAGCAGCTCAATTGGCTTGGATAGAAAGATAAATAAATGATGATTACAATCACAATAAAAAATGGTACTAATCATTGACAAATCAATCACATTTGACAAGTTAAAATCTGACACTAATTTTTTAAATAATGGCCATCATTTCGTTTAAAAAAATGGCCATATTCAAGGAATTATTTAAATGAAGAAACTACGATTAAGAAATTACGGAGTATAATTTATGAAATTCTAACATTTAACAAGACTCTATTAAGGAATTTTTTTTATTTTTATTTTTATTTTTTTGAAGCCAAACTCTCTATTAAAGAATTACAATTAAGGAATTAATTCAACTTTGTAAATATATATGAATAATTGATTTAATTACATAACTATAACAAAATCTTAAATTTTTTTCACTAGAACTAGTTAACTACTGTATTATTTTTTTCTCAAAAGTAGCACCCATTTTGTGAAACTTTCTGAAAAATAAATGATTTTGTCAAGGTCCCACCAAAGTAAAAAAGAGAGGCACATAAAAGAAAGAAATCAAAACACGACCAAAGCAAAAAAAAGTAACGGACATTAAATAAAGCCTTCTGTTTTTTTTTTCAATGTTTTTGTAACAACACCACCACCAAGGAACCCGTCAAAGCGTGTCGCACGCCTTCTTCACTCCCCCGGCTGAGTTCCTCTTCTCTGAATAATTCTGATGTAAATTTGAGAAGATGGAGGAAAATTCATCAATCATGTTGGAGCGTTATCGGCGTGATCGTCAGAAGCTGCTTGAATTCATAATTTCATCCTCAAATTTAATCAAACAAGTTCGTACTTCTTCTGGTCCCACACTCTCTCTTTCCGACATCAACCTTGATACTCTCAGTGCTGATTATGTTCTCAATTGCATCAACTCTGGTTTGGCTTTTATTCTTTTTGTTTTTTTTGAATTTTGGATTCCTGCATTTTTGTTGTTGTTGTTGAATTTAAGCGTTAATTGGTCAATTTTTTTTTTTTAAATTTGTTTTGTAGGTGGTGTTTTGGATGTTGCTGAAGCGACAAATAGTTATTACCATGAGTTAGAGTACCCGACAATGGTAAAGGCTTTTATAATTTTAATTTTAATTTTGAACCTTTTGATTGTTGTATAATGACATGGAAAATGATGTTATAGTTTTGATTTATGATAGTGAAAATTGTTAATTAGTCAATTTGTGTTGTTTTTTGCTGGGTGTTTGTGATTGTGATGGTTTTTTCATTGTTTGTTTGTACACCATTTATCCGGTCAGATACTGATACGAAATTAGATAGGATTGTATGTACTTTTCTGGAGTTTTCGTTGTTTATACCTAACCTAGCACAAGGCAATGACACACTTTTCTCCGACATTGTCGTAAGACTCAGAAACCCTAGTGGTGGCACAAGTAGAATGCTGTCGGTTCCTACCTCAGCCCTGAAACAACCATACGAGTAGGCCACGATCTGGTCTATTGATAATGAAAGACTACTAGGTTCGTAGGATGGCAACTTGGCAAGTGAGGATACTTATGAAGTATGACAGAATTAAAAATATATTGTAGCAGAATTTTTATAAAACCTTAAAAAGCACTCATACAGAATACTGAAACGATTGAGGTATACAAGCAGTGAGTTCCTTTAAGTAACAGCAGAGCAGGAAATGGATAAGAAAAATCAGGTATAGAAGATCCCCTAGCTCAGTTAGTAAAGGCATAACTGATACCAAAACAATAATGGGGTAGATAAATTATTAAGAAAGCCAAAGAACAGATACCAAAAGATTCGATAATGAGATGATTTTAAGGGAATAGACTCCGTCCATGGTTCAGTGGCCACCGCCCACCAGAGATAGGCTCTCAGCTCTGGCAAACTTCTAAGTCACTTGATTGGAAGAAAAGTACGTGAAGATACCACAACATGACAACATGCATGACTTACATACTTCACTTTGACCATGATTGGTTATTATATGTAAAGAAATACATAGTCAATTTGGATCTGGTTAGGTTTGTCTCAATGTATAGTTTCAATATTTGAACTTCTATAATTTTTTGTTATTTTACTAATTGACAATTAACAATATAAGGGTAAAAGTTGTGTCTTGACTAACGTGCACAGTAAAAATGGAACAGGGAATAAAACAGTGGAATTATTAGATATTATTCTATGGGATACAGAAATAAGTACTCAAAATTGGTTGTCTTGAGAGAAATTTCTCATTTTTACAAGATGGGGACAAAATTAAATCTATTGGTCGTTGGAATGTTTTTTTTTTTTAAAGTGCCCGACTGATATACTCTTGTTATGCTCTTTAACATTGTTTCTTTCATCTAGGTGAAGCTTCAAAATTGGTGCTTTCAATGTAAATTTTGCCCCCAAACTCATAATGATTAACTTATAGATGTTTCTGTTGAATAAATTCCCAGCAGATCTATTCTCAGTCAGGGAATTCTTTTTATACCCTCACACAATCCCAGCTATCTAGATCTCCTCCTAAACGCCGGCCTCCTCCAGCTGGTGCCAGTGAGAAAAATAATGTTGCAGCACAGTCATCAAACCAAGCAGGACGAATATCTAATCACAAGATTGCTTCAAGAAAAGACGAAAATGGGTTCAAAGTTGGAAATGTAATGACTAGACCCTCAAAGTCTTCTGAGAGTGGTGTTGTTCCTCTTTTAGGATTACCTCACTTACAAACAGGTGTGGTGCTATCATACATTTATATTGTTCCTTATTATTTGCCTATATAAGGCTCAAATTTGCAAAATGATAACTTAATAAAGCATTCTGTTTTCATCAACTATATTGGATTTGATAATGTATTGTTTGGGTTAATCTGATTATTCATTATGAATTTCGGCTCCTTTCCGTTAGATTTTCAAGTCTTGGATTTCTGTTTTTTAGACAACTCATATTTAGTTCTAGGGTTTTTGAAGGATTGTCTGAGGATGATTTGCGGGAATCAGCTTATGGAGTACTGGTTGCATCCTTAGCCTTTTCTAGGTATACATTTCCCCTTGCTTTCTTGTAATTTTTTTTTTTTTTTTTGCTGTATCTTCAACAAAGCTGGTTCTTTCGTATACAACCTTTGCCTTAATTTAGTAGTAATGACATTAATACTGTTATTTACATGTTTTAGGATTGAAGTTTTATGTGAACAAGATCGAAAAAAGGAAAAGTCTTCTAAACTGCTAGCAGGTTTGAAAGGAAAAAAGAGTAGAGAGGTGGTTTTGCAAGCTCGGTATCAAGATAGAAATTTGGAACTACTTAATACCATACGCACTCAAATGGAGGCAAGTTTCTCTGCATCTTTACTTTTGACTTATTAGCTTTTGTAGCCTGTACTTGAATTCTTAATTTTTATGAATTTTTATCAACTGTGTTGAATTAATTGTTCTCATGTATATAACACATATAAATCATCCACAATTCTTCTTTAACAAAGACTAAAAGCTAAGGCAAATTAAGTTGTGAGTGTGTGTTAGGCTAAGCCGATTCGACAGAATTTGTGGTTTAGGTCTTACCCTGGGATTCGTTCGTTCGTTCGAGAGAGAGAGGCAGAGAGAAGGAAGAAAAGTAGTAAGGAAGAAGCTAGTTCTATGTCATAAAGTATTTAAGGGTGGGTCAATTATTTCTTTTTCACTAGGTTAATTAAACAGTTGGTGCTGCATAGTTCATTTTAAAGGGTACTCCATTCGTTATTTTTTGTTGTACTTAATCACAGTAGACAAAAAGATCAAGTAGAAGAGGAGGGAGAGACCATCTATGTATGGTACTTTTACTTTTTGGAGGAGATAGAAAGACCGAGGAGTAAATGACGTGCTAAGACATTTAAAGGGTGGATGTAAATGACAAGTGGGTTGAAAATAAAGAACAGGGGTAGTTTCAAAAAGTGCTATCTGTAGGGTTATCTTCAACAAATTATCTCTTTATTTATATTGTGAATGTATTAATATATTAATCACAATGCACATGTATTGATCAAGTAGAAAAATAGTGCTCTTAGTGTAGATGATTTATTTGTATTTTTGCTTTAATTCATTCAATTTTGATGTTTCCCTCTTTAATTTGTTTTGATAGAATATCGAGTATTTTATGCTTGTTAAATGCAGTATCTTTGATAGTGTTGGTGACCTTGGTGTGTAGTCTGTGTATTCATATTCTTTGTATACTTTTGACAAAACTCAGTGGCTAGACTTTGATCTGTTCTTCATAAATTACAGCATGTAATATGTTTTTCATTCTGTTTTCCTGTATAACTTGTCAAGTATTGTACAAATTAGGCAAATAATTTTATTAGTAATAATACCCTTTGCTGTTATCCATCTCTGATTGATGAAAGATTTACTAGGTTTCAGAAGCGATGGATTTATGCATCAGGCAATGCTTGACGCGATGCGCTTCAAGGTCATCATCTTCACAATTTGATGTTCTGCAAATTGTACTGGGCCTTATTAAGAGCATTACAAGATCAAATTTTCCAAATGAAAAATCTTATGTTCAATGGAAAAATAGACAGGTAAAGGGTATAAGAAGTATATGCTTGCAACTGGCTCTGGTTTTAAAGATTAATGTTACTGGGCATTCTATTTGTTAACATGAGTATATAGTGAATAATGAATTATGTTTCAATACTGAGAATTAACTGATCTTGAGAAAGAAATCTTATCTGGTTTGGTAGGGATTCATAGGGATGCCCTTGTACTGTTTTGGACCATTTACAAATCCAGCATATGAACTTGGAAGGTGAAAGGGGCATAAAGTATAGAGTTAGGTTGCCTTTTTGCTATTAAGTAGGTGCTTTGGGTGGGAAGGGAATCAGGAGCTTTCAAGGTTGGGAGCCTCCTTTTAGTTATCTGGTTTCTGTTTTGGATCAATTTGGTGTATTTAGCTTGTCATTTGACTCCTGTTCATGGAGCATTTCTTGGCATATACAATTACTGATGTATTGCAAGATAGGAGCTCTTTTCTGGTGGACTTCTGGTCCACTTCTTTGTAATTCTTTTTTATCTTCTTTCGTAATGTTATTTCTCTTATCCAAAACAAGGGGAAAAATAAAAAAAAAAGAAAGTTACGCTTTGAATATTAACTTACGTGAATACTTTGAACCTAGACTTGGTTGGTTATAGTTTCTCTTATTTCAAATGAGCATGAAGAACCAGAAATTACTATCCATATTCTTGCATGGTTTGATGTGGAATTGTCTTTGTTGGTCCGTGTTAAGCTTTGTTGCTGTTTGCCTGTATGCATTGAGAGTTGGTGGCAAATGCGCCTCTTTATTTCTCAGTCGGATTTATTATAATAAACTTAAATTGCAAAAGTTTTAAGGACGGCCTTTTTAAGCCGTAGGCTCCTCCCGAACATCCTGCCTACCTGGCATTTTCAATTGATATAATTAAAAATTTAGAATACTTTGTTAGATTGTATTTTAAATATGTTTAGGATTGCAACTTCCTAAGCAACTCTTTTGTCACAGGCAAATATCATGGAAGAACTCTGTTGCCATGGTCATTTGACGGAGGAATATACTACCGTAAAATACTCTATTGGAAAGATAAGAAATGCAAGGGTATGGATTTTGATCAGTTATCTATCGTTCTTTGGTTGATTTCAGGCTTTCAGCATTTTTCATATTTAAGTGGTTAATGGGAGTACTTTGTCTTATTTAGGAATGGGATATGATGTCACCCAGTGAACGAGCTGAGATTCTACATTCTATCAGTAATTCTGCTTCGAAAATCTTCCATAAGCCAGGATATGGAGATGAAAGATGTGACTTGCCTGGAGGTCACCACTTGAAAGTCCGGCTTTATGAGAAACTGCTTTCTTCAGTGTTTGACATTCTTGAAGAAGGACAAATTTTAGTGGTATCGCTCATATTTTAATTTTCTGGCTTTTCTTATAGAGTTGTCTGTTAAGTATTACAATGAGAAGTAAAGTCCCTGTGATATAAACATATACAGGAGGCGAATGAAATTCTGAAACTCATCAAACTGACCTGGTCTACTCTTGGGATCACTCAGATTATTCATGATGCATTGTATAGTTGGGTTCTCTTTAAACAGGTATTTAACTATCATTTTTGCTTCGATTTTTTATTGTGTTTGATGTGTTCTGAGCTTTTCAGAATTCTCATACTTCTTAATGGTAATCTAGAACCCAAGTCATAGATGTTTCTTAAAGTCCACCTCATTTATTTGTATTATAAAATTCTCTTGTAATGTAAATAACCGATTCTAGAATGGGAAGTAGAGTGGGGGAGGCAATGGTTAATTTTGGAGAAATCTCCAGAGGAGCCAAGGAATCCTTGTAAGAACAATTTTTAGTTGTTTAACCTAGTAACTTTTGTATTTTATTCCATATCGCTGTAGATTTCTGCTTGATAATATACTCCATATTCTGGCAAGTTTTCTTATACATCCTTTAAAGAACTGTATTGACATTGCTTACACACTAAGCACAGCATGGCCTGAGAGAAGTTTTTTCGTCTGCCTATTAAAAACTTTCATCGAGTTTGTTCTCCCACTCGATATGAAATAAATTTGTTTTTCTGAACCTTTTATCTTATGTAGTATGTTCAAACAGATAAGGAAGATCTGCTAGAGTACACAACTATCCAAATACAGAATGTCCAAGCTGCTGAATCTCTTTATGAAGAAGGGGAATGTTTGTTATGTACGATTGAATGGCGAGATAGTGTAGTTCGACTAAATTTGGTTCCAGCTATATTGCTCTCCATGCATATTTGGTGTGAAGGGAAACTACAAGACTATCATAGGCATTTTAGTCAGGTTAGTTATTTGGTATCAGTGTAATTCCAGTATAGTTTTGGAGTCATACTAGATGGATATGTGTTGTATTTATATGCTAACCAGGTATTGTGCCCTTTAATGCTAATTTGTTTGTTTTTTACTGTTAAAATTACAGACTTCTTGCTATGTCATAGCCACTGTTGCCTGTATATAATTTCTGTTTTATGTTTGGTGCTTTGATCTGAGTAATTTAACATTTATTGGTGCCCATCACCTTTCAAATATTTTTTTTCCTAACATTAAGCTAACTTTCCAGAAACCATCCAAGTTCAAGAGGATATTGACCTTTGCAATGGCGACTGCAGTCGTTGATCTAAATGTATTTGGCGAGGTTAGTTATGGATCAATTGTTAGTTAATTTTGTTTTTCTTTATTATAAGTGTCGGTATGTTTGAGTTCTTCTTGCTTAAAATTTATATGCTTCTTCTCTACATAGATCTATGTGATATGCAGCTGTCTGTAATTGCCTTTTTTCCCCCAAGAAAATATAAACACCAGCGATTTTAATACTGATTTTTAAGAGCATTATGTTTGATACAATAAATCTCTTGTTTTATGGGAAACTCATCCGAATTTCCCCCTGTTTTCCAATATACTGTGATTTAATTATTTTTCTAATTGTCGTTTAAAGAAACTTTTCATGCTAGAAACAAGTTTATAATGTATTTATCCATGATAAGTCTTCTCATACTATTTAGCTGGTATTATATTCTGAAATCACCTTTTTAATTTCACGTCTTCTTCTCCTTTATTTCGCTATGCAGCTGACTGAAACAGATGGTTCCACAAATGATGCATCCAGACTAATAAAGATGTATGTGGAGAGCTCTGTTCAAGCAGCATACATGCTAGTGAGTCTGAATTGAATTATCTATTTGAGTCAATTTGTTGTTTGTGAGTTGAATTTAACATGCCAACTTTTTTTTTTTTTTTAAATTTATTTTTAAAATAGGTTCTTAATGGCTTGGATCTCAAATCAGATATAGAGAGGATGCATCCGTTGGCATTGCTTGCAAATGCTGTAAAATTGGTTGCTGAGAAAGAATTTTCTGTTTTTAGCCCTGTATTACATTTGTGGTGTCCTGAAGCTGGGATGATTTCAGCCACACTATTACATCAACTCTTTTGGGAAAGATTGGTATTTAACGTTATTATAATTAATAGTTATTCAATTAATAGTATAAATTTATCTTTTGTGTATATTTTTATGTAATCTGACTGTGTCCCCCCCCCCCTAAACAGAGACCATTTATTCAGGGCATATCGAGTCTCTCTCAAGATGTCAAGTTGGTTCTTTCTGCTGCTCATATGCTGGATCGGGAGCTGACTCAACTCTATTCTTTCAGCTTTCATGGGAATAGCTTACATCAGCCTTTCAAAGTTGAGTTGGACCATTTTCAGGTGAGGGTACTCGTGTAATCTTTGGTTACAGGAATCCCATAGATTGATGTTTTGATGCATCTAGAATCTATGCTCCAGTGATCCATTCCATTCCCTTCCCTTCTCAACCAATAGTTCATTTCATCTTGAATTCCTCTAAGGCTAGGCGCATTTTAGTTTTATTATATATGTAGTACCTTATATCTGTTTGGATTATTGGAGCTAGCCAGCTAATTGCATTCCATTTTAGATACTTCTGTATCCTGTGGGTTTCCTGATTGGCAGTAAACATTGACTGTTTTTAATGATGCCAATTTCTTGTACATCTGCAAAACTGAAAGAGATGGGCTTAATAGGAATTAAATAGGATGTGTTCTTTAGGTTATTGATTGCTTAGAATTATTGGAAGTGTCGTATAAATTTCATTTAATTTGGCAGATTGGAGATGTCTCTGCTTCACTTATTCTTGATTGGTCAATATCTCAACATGCATATATACTGGACTGGATTGCCCGTGTCTTTGATCTTGAGGTTCGTTTCTAACTTATGTGTAATTTCAATGAGATACTATTCAATTGGGTGTAATGTAGTTATGCATCATGTGTACCTTTTTCTTTTTTCATTACCCTTGCTTTTATTTGTGCAATGTTTCTTTCCGAGTCTTTGAGAAGCAACCTCTCAACTATTTTACCAAGCCTAAGAAAAGAGTGCGCACTATTGGACCTCCATAGGATTTGCCAACACGGGTGGATGTTATTGCTCATTGCTGTATCAATACAGAAATCTACAAGCCAGTAATTGTGGTAGGATTTGAAAAAAAAAAAAAAACATTACTAGATGTGATATCTTATTGCTGAATATATTATGCTTCATCTGTTACTATGATTTTGTAAAACCATGAAAGATGTTCTACCTATAGATCTATTTTGACTGATGTGATTAGGTTGTGTTTATTATGTGAGCTGCATCTGTTGAAGTGCAAGAACTAGAGGTTTTTTCCTCAAGTAAATTGACTTTTTGATTGTTGCAGTTGTGGGAACCTTTGACATCTCAAAAGAAACATGCAGGATCTGTTGTTGAAGTATTTAGGATGATTGAGGAGGTAATTGATCTGTCTGGATATTTTTTAATTTGATTGCTTTTATAAAATCTGTTTAAGCTTCACAATGAAGCAAATATGGAATTCAGGAAGAAGACCTGTGAAAATATCAACAAGGCCTTCCACGATTTTGGGGCCACAATTCATCTGTTAATTGATATTGTCCAGTGTATACTAGCTCAGTAGTATTAACATATTGAACAACAAACCAGAGCTTATAAAAGCTATACTGCTGCAAAATTAGATTCCCTTGACTTGAATTAGGAACTACTCCCTCCATTCCCTAAAGTTCCACTCAGTTGTTTTACGCTCTTGTTTCATTGGAAAAAGTGTGTGGGTGTAAGAAAAAGATGGATAAAGACGAGAGATGAAGTAATAAATGAGAGGGTTTACAATTTTTTTTGTGTAAATAGTGTAAGGGTAAGGTGGACTAGGTGGTAATATGGAGTTAAAAAAAACTATAATAAAGTAAAAGTGAGCTAAAATTGCTTCCTCCGTTTTCTTTTACTTGCAACACAACCTCAAGGCATGCACTTTAAGGAGATGAATGGAGAAGGTAAACTAAATCAAAATTTTTAATACCGGGATTAGGGAAGGGTTAGATATTATATGTGTAAATTTTTTTGATTAATTTGTCCATTTAAATTATCTAATCTCTTCCTTAATGTGCGTGTCATGAAACTGTGTTGCAAGTAATAAAAAAAAAAAAAAAAACGAAAGAAGTATGAAACAACCCAAAATGGAAAGTGAGTCAAACTTTCAAATTTGTAGAGAGTAATAACTAATAAGTTTATTAACATAAAAAGTAGGGTGGTTCAAGATATCTCAAAAAAGCTTCATAGTGACTAACCAGACAAGGTTTCCTTTTTGTTTTTGTATCAGTGTGCCTGTATAAAACTATAAATTTCTAGTCCCCTTGTCTTTGTATGTTGTGTTTTATATGGTTTATAATCACGTCCTTATGTTACTAAATCTTTTTCTTGATATTCTTGGCTTGGCTTGACTTGATTTTTTTTTTTTATTATTATTTTCAGACGGTGGATCAGTTTTTTGGGTTGAATCTTCCTGTGACTATCACACACTTGCAAGCTTTACTTTCTCTAATCATCCACAGCTTGGATGCTTATTTGTCCAAAATGGGTTGCCAATTAGGTAATACTTGCAAAAAGAATATGCCTGCAAGGCTGCAATTACTAACTTATAAACGATGCTTTCTCAGTTTGTTTTTTCCTTAATATTTAGGCTTCTATAATGTGCTCTTTAAATTGTTTTTTTGTATGATAAAAACACGTTGGAACTTTTGACTTCTGGTTGAAGGATCTGACGTGATGCCAAATATGATATGTTGCACTTGACATAGGTCATAACTAATAAGTCATGCCTTTGAGAAAATTTGGACACTATCCAGAAGTTTTAATAGAAATGTGGAGGAGATCTCCCTGGGTATTAAATAGATTGTTATTCATTCAGTATTTATCTATAGTCATTTGTTCTGTGCCAAAGTAACTTTGTAGGATCCCATTTTAAAGGTGATTTAAGGCCTGCTTGGAGATGCCGGAGAAGATTGGAAGTAGGAAACACTCTTGAGGTAGCATAGTGGTCAAAAGATCCACTACAATATTTTGGCTTCCTGGCTTAAGATCTATGTTACCCAGACTCACGAGTACACGACACGACACAACACATGGGTATGGAATCCCAGTTAGATTTGACAAAATGTACTTGGCCATGGCTAGTTATGGAAACCGCGAGATCTATAAATTAACACATTAATTGATACAATATGAAGAGTGAAGTTAGGGCTTGGCTTTTGGTCACTGAGAGTTTGAGAGATTGGGTGTGTAAGGAGAGAGCTTATGTGTGGTTGCAGCACAATGCAGTTGGGTGTGTAAGGAAAGAGTTTGTGTGTATTGGCCTCTCTTCTGATAGCTATTTGCTGATCTAGCTTTTTTTATGCCCACGTTTTCATTTTTTCATTTCCGAAATGTTCAACAGGATAGATCTACTGAACATGGGTTAGGATATGTCTTTGTATTCTCAGTTGGAGGTTTTGACTTGAATGCATAGTTGAAGTGGGGCTTTACGACTATGGTACTGACATTTCAGAATTTATTAGCATTTGGGAAAGCTATAAAGTGCTGTGTTGTGTTCGCTTGTTTGAATCTTTTGGTGGTGTAAATAATGAAATCTATCCTTTTTGTTCTCAAAACACAAGGCTCTCACATCCTTCAAGGTCAAACTTTAACATGTGGCTGTTAAATTCTCTGATTGTATTGATGAAATGGTGAAAAGTAATATTATGAAGTAGAGTGCATTATAATGCAAATATCAATAAGATTTATATAAGATTCAATATGTTTTAAGGGAAATTAGGTTAAAGCTTGATCTCAAATAATACAGGGACCTTATGTTTTGATAGAGGAACTTGGTTTTAAGTTTTAGATTATATCTCTGACTGTATTGTTGACCATCGTTCTTTCTGTTTTTTTTTTTTCATTGACTTTGTTCATTCTTATATAATCTGTCTTGTTTTGCTTGATGATTTTCATTTTATTAGCTGTTTGTTTTCTCTTCCATCATTGAGATTTTGCTGTGATATTATGCAGTTGAGAAGAGCCACCTTTATCCATCAGCTCCATCACTGACACGGTCTGAGGAATCTTTGGTTACTATCCCGAGAAAAAAGATGGTTGAGCTCAAGATCTTGGATGATAATACTATTAATACCCTAAATCAGTTGACCTTACCCAAGCTCTGTATCAGACTGAATACTCTTCAAGTGAGTTTCATCCTACTTCCCAACCCCCCCCCCCCCTCCTCCCTCCCCCAATTAAAAAAATAATAATAATAATTACGTAAAAAAGAAGCAAGCATAAAGTTGTGTGAAGAATATTCATATTTTAAAAGCATTTTTCATTGTTAATATTTGAATGCAAGAAACTGAGAGAGTGTCACAAAAGTTTTCTTATACTTTTTGAGTCTGGTATCACTTTTTATGTGCTATTATTTGCTTAAATGTTTTGGATTTTTTTACGATGATCAACAATGGTTGAATGTATCAATATAAACTTGCATGATATTTGATACGATCTCTGGTAAATGTTTAGCTCCACTTATTGGATTATTTTTTATATCTCTGTTCAATTCAACTATAGAACGCTGGTTATATTGTTGTCTCAATTTCTTGTAATTCTCAAAGTCTAATGTTTTATGGAGTACAAGTAAGTAAATGAAGAGGTATTTGACTGTAGAGTGTAGACTTTCCTCAACTTGACCGCGATTTATAACGTAGGAAAGACTAAGCAATGTGAACGGAAAGTATCTGCTTGTAGTTGTGTTACGTTTTACTCTCCTGTTTCCATTCCAGATATTCACACTGAAAATTGGAGGGGATTATGGCTCTGTTCTTTACTCCCAAAAGCTGTAAAGGGATCAAATTAATAAATTAAACTTTGATTTAGTTCTTTATCATGTTTTAGCTGTTGAATGTTGTTTTTGAGTTGTTTCATCACTGACTTTTCTACTTTTAATTCTGTTCTTTTTCATCTTTGTTACTTGAATTCCTGTTTCCTTCAGGACTTACACTTCTGTTATCAATTTTTATATAACATTGGCTTTATAAAGATGTTTTCCATTTCCGTGTGCAGTATATCAGAAATCAAATTGTTATATTGGAAGATAGCATGAGGAAGTCATGGGGACTTGTCAGACCAGCTGTGAAGTGAAGATGGTGTAAGCGCTTGCACATTTCTTGTTATTCTCTTCTTTTGACTTGATTTGTCCCTTATTGATACTTTTTGCTCTAATGATACATGTCTACGTCTTCTAATTTGAGCCACTCTTCCTGGTGAACGGAGAGGGGGGAGGGAGTGGGGTGGGGGTGGGTTTGGGCTTTTTTATAAATCTGCAATTCAGGTTTTGACTTTTTGAACCACATGGTGCTCACTTGTATTGTGCCAACTGAGTCTAGAGGCTTAAGGCTGAGTGCAATTATAAAACATATTTAATCTTTATTATTGTTGTTTCACACTTGAAGAGACTTCTCCTAGAGAATAAAGACTATGCTCCGATTAAATGGCGGGATAAGAAGTAAAATGGTTTAAAGGCCATATATATAGAGGAGAAGACTGGGACTGAAACTTGTTATATAGCTGTCTTGCTGGATATCATAATGTTGTAGTCAACAGACCCACATCTTTTTTTTTTTGTTGATTTACTAATAAAATCTTCGTAGCTTATACTATATTCAGATTATGGAACTTTCTATGTGTATTGCGCAGTTAACATTGTAGAAGAAGAAACTCCTGAAATCTCGGAGAGAACTATGAGTGAAGAATCAATTGATGAATTATTTGCGACGACATTTGATGGTATTAGAATTAGTATCACAGATGCTATTGCGAAACATATTGACTTCACAGGTTAGATATAAACTCTTAAAAGTTATGTCTTAAATGGTAATAAACTTTCATAGCTGCATGATTTTAATGGTTTTTTGACGGGGTGCCCCTATCGTTTTAAGCCTACTAGCCAAATTTTTTACAAATGCACTATATAGGATATACATTGTGGTTTGCAAATAAAATTACCAAGTTCCCTTAATGAAGTAATGGACGTTTACTTCTGTTATCTAAAATCACCTAACCAGTTAATGCATTAACGCCTTATTAGCTCAACCTCCATGTTAACAAAAAATCTTACCTTTCACTTGACCCTGAATTGTCAATATTAACATCACTTCTGCCACATCCTGATTGAGAACTTCTGTGTCCACTCCTTAGTATTTAACTTTATATTTTATATGCTCTATCGTTCATTCATTCAAAACACCACTGCATTATTATTATTTTTATTTCAAACTGTCTTTCTGTATTACCTGTCACAAAACCTTGAAGAAATATAATGGAAATGGAGTTATACTTTTAAAGATGATTGATACTTAATAAACTATGAAAAGGAAATAAAGGCCTACTTTGAAATAGCATACGTATGCTGTTATTCATACTAGTGTTTTTTTTTTGTTACATAGCCTTTTGTAACCCAAGTGACTGATGCTTTTGTATGCTGCAAAAGAGCTTTGTGGTTACTTTGTATATTATCCTACAATTTCTTCATATTACATTGTTATGTAGTGTTAACAATGACTAGAAATTGTGCTGTTGCTGACCTCAGTTCCCATGTCCAATTATTTACCCTTGGGAAGTGGGGGTGGAAACTGCTTCTTTAGGATGACAATTTTGACCTATTTACATGACAGTAAATGCAGAGAAGGTAATAATCCCCATTTATTGGTTATGCAGGAACAAAAGCTGTATTCTGGGACCTAAGAGAGAAATTCCTTTTCCAATTATATCGTGGTGGTGTTGAAAAAGCTCGTATGGACACTGTGCTTCCCAGTGTTGATTCTGTTAGTAATTGAGCTATTTTTTTTTCCTTTATGTACAAGCCTATATTCTACTCCAACTGAAGAAAGGTTATGAAATGCACTGATGAAGCATTTTTACTCATTTACGAAGTATTAATTTGCATTTCATGTTGATTACTATTCAGTTGGTAAATTTGGTCAATCAATCTTATGCTTGAGAGATAGTTACAACTTACAATATGAGATGCATTGATGTAGATGCTGAACCAAATATGTGGATCAGTTGATGACACCGTCAGGGATCCTGTGATTTCCAGTATTTTTCATGCATCATTGGTATGTTCTGAGGCTCTATTAGCTCTGGTATATTTATTCTCCTTGTTTTTCATGCTTCTGATTTTTCTTGCTTTGTTCAGGAAGGTTACCTTTGGGTACTGCTAGATGGAGGACCTTCACGTGCATTTTCTGATTCAGATATCATATTGATGGAGGATGATCTGAGAGCACTACAGGTATTTGATGTCTCTTTTTCTGTTGCAGTTGGTCAAATTTTCTCAGATTTGGTTTGGGGTGGGGTGGGAGGAGAGGTATTTGATATCTCCTTTTGTGTTGCAATTGAACAGCTTCTCCTCGGACTTGATTTTTTTTCCTCTCTGTCTGTGTGTTTTGGGGGGGGGGGGGGGTTGAGGGGTAAGCAGGGTAGTTAATAGGATCTTATCACATAATTTCTCTTGTTAAATGGCCCAATTAAGCAGTGAAAATGAGGCGGTGGGGGGGGGATTGAGGGGGTAAGCAGGGTAGTTAATAGGATCTTATCACATAATTTCTCTTGTTAAATGGCCCAATTAAGCAGTGAAAATGAGGCGGTGGGGGGGATTGAGGGGGTAAGCAGGGTAGTTAATAGGATCTTATCACATAATTTCTCTTGTTAAGTGGCCCAATTAAGCAGTGAAAAGGAAAGATGTATTGTTTATTGCTAATTCGTGACTAGTGTTTTATTTTAACGATTGTCTACAATTACGAAAGAGACTTTGAGTGGCAGTGAAATCCTGAATCAGGCTACATATCTTTTTAATTTTTCTAGAAGAAAGTAGATGGAGATCTATATTAGTCGGACTCGGGTACCAGTGTCCGACTACTATTTTGTGAACTTTTTCCATGATTTTGAACCAAAATGAAGTGTTCAAGTGTTGTATCCATGTCTGAGGGTCAAGGGTCTAACATGGGTACTTGAGGTTAAATGAAGAGTTTGAGTAACATAGGTGGAGATGCAACGGAAATAGATGTGCTCATTTGGCTTTTAGCTACTTAATCTTTGTTTTTCCTTTTTACCTCAGAGGAATTAGGGGTTTTAATTTTGCTTGCTTGGACGTTTGTCTTTGCATTTTTTTTTCAAGTATGATATTGATTATAGATAGGACATATGTGCCATTTTGCAGGATTTCTTTGTGGCTGAAGGAGAAGGTCTTCCTCGTTCTACAGTAGAGCGAGTAGCGAAGTTTGCTCATCAAGTGTTAAGCTTATTTTCCCTTCAGGTCTGATGGTGGTTTTGAGAATTTGAGGTACATGCAGGTTGAGTTGCTTAAAGAATTACTCATAATATTTAAGTTGTTTCTCTTTGCCCATTCTTGATCCTTTGCAGACTAGTAGCGTTATCCAAATGCTAATGAATGCAAGTGAGCACATCTCAACTAGGGTTCAGTCAGGTGATCACGGTCATAGATCACTGGATGATGCAAATACTTTGATACGAATATTATGTCACAAAAAGGACACGGAAGCTTCAAAGTTTCTAAAGAGGCAGTACCGGCTCCCGCCATCCTCAGGTGACTCTCTCTTGTACTCTGTATGAATTAGAATATATAAGCATAATCTAGGATATTGATAACTTACAGTGATAGTTGGTGACATATATATATATATCATAGCAATATATAAAGGGGAGACGATAAGCTACTAGTTAATGGGTGGAATGAGATCAGTTGGTTGTTGCCAGGAGGCATTCTTTTTCCTTCTTGACCAATTTAGTGTGCAATGGTCACAAGCAGTCTCCTCGCTGTGTTTACTGTTTAGATCACCATGACGGGAAAAGGTCCCGGTACATTAAATATTCCGCTAGTGCCGCTCCAGTTTCTATGCTTTCCTCCTTCCTGAGGAACTCTTTTGTTTATTGAATTTTTCTCTTTGCTATTGATGGTCTCACTCGTATTTGCCTTTTATTTACTTCATTCGTATTCTTAAACTCTTAAGAGTGGTACTCAGATTGATTGAATTACAAACTTAGGATACCTGGAATATTAGGTCTATAGCCTAAAAAAATTCTTTTCACACTATGTAATGTAACCCTTTAATTTTACCGTGCCAGATGCCGAAGTTTAAATTTAGAAATTTGTGGTGAAATTTCAGTGAAGAACTAGTGTTAGTTACTAAGTAACTCACTGTATGCTGTATGCTGTATGCAGAATACGAAGAAAATCCTAAGATTGAATCAACATCAAGTTCAGCCATGTTTTCAGATCTGCTAAAAAGAAGTGCATCATTTCGGTTTCCAGAAACAGGACATAGTAGCTTCAAATCATTGAAGAAGAAATTTCAAGAAGCATGGTGAGAGGTCTGGCTTTGATGCTGAGGGGTATAAATTATGCTATTTTGGCTTAAGGTAATATTTGGTTTTTGTTGGTGTATACTATATGGGTGTATGTGACGGGAGAAGTTACTTCTTCCGTCCCTAATATTTTGCGCCATTGGACTTTTCGCGGTCTCCAAGATGCGTCTTAAAACGGTTTTATCTCTATTTTTATGTGTAAAAACTATAAAATTTTCTATATTAATAATAAATACAATCAGACAACTCCAACAAGATTGCACATGACTTATTATCTCTTATAAATTAGAAGTATGTTATAGTCAAAATTTTTAAAGTTTGACCCATATTTTTGCAATGGGGCAAAAAATTAGGGACAGAGGGAGTACAATCAAAATTATCATTCCTATAATTGTATTTCCTTTCTTAGTTGGACTACTGAAATCATTTTTATGTGAAGGTAATATTGTGATTGTGACACAAAGTCTCTTTTCCCTTCATTTACATGCTTTGCTTCTCTGCAAACAGTGGCTGACTGTCTTTTATATCCTATGTGGGTGACTGCCAATAACTTCCAACGAGAAGCAGCTTGATGCAACTTGATTATAACTTTGACTAGTGGTGTGAAAACTCTAATCTTGCTGGAACAAAGACTAGGTTTAGTATAGCTTAGTGGCAAGATGATGCAGTTGAAGGTTGTCAAGTCTTGCTATAGTTCGTTGGTGCTGATTTTGTGTATAATGACCTGAGATTGATCAACTTGAGATAATCAATAGGATGTGTTAACATTGGGGTTCATTTCTTCTACAACCCCTCTAGAGTGAGGTTGTAACAGTTATTAGCAAAAATCAGCTAATAGCAAGCAGGAGAATGGAGATCGGAAAAGGATACCCGGATACAGAATATGAGCAAGAATTGAGTCTACAATTTTTATGTTGATTGTTCGTTATTGTAGATTTTGCCAATGACTGTTATTCATATAGTATCATTTCAAAAAAAGTGGTGTAATATTGGTTGGGGAAGCGGTTGATGAGATAGATATTAGACAAAGCTTCTGTTAGTTCTGTAAGGCTTCTTTTTGGTGTTTGTGTGGATCTTTGTAGGTTTGTTTTAATTTCATAAACGGGTGCAATAAAGTTTTCATATTAGCGCAAATTTACATTTTTTAAAATGATGCCAAATTGCCATTCTGTTCTCAGTTAGATTGTGGATCTTTCTAGCTTGTATTAATTGTTGCGTTGATAGTGTTTGAAACGAACCTTCCTATGTTGCTGTTGTAATAAATCACTGTCATACTCATATATCATCATATATTCATGTGGTTATTCATGATGAATTAGAGCTGGAGGAAACTTTGGATGTCATTAAGCCAGCCAGGATGCTGATTTATCAATGACATCGAGTCCAGCTAATTATCTAACGGTTAGATAATTATTATGATGAAAATGTTTATACTGTTTCTAGCCCAAATATTGCTTCAATGAATTGATACATGCAGTTTTGTTGACGCTGCCATAAAATTCTCTTCTCATTACTCGATTTTCCACACCACAATACTAGTAACAAGGCCGCTAGCTTGAGAAAGAAAGTGAAAGTCGAGGTACACTACTGTGAGTACTGTCCACAGTCCACAACCATAGTCTCGGGTTGGAAACTTCTCACTACCGAAAGCTATAGAAATACCATAAGGATTAATGGACTATAGTTTCCACGCACACAATATTATTGTCATACATGAAGTCAAATTCTAACTCACGCACAGCTCATATGGTCATGTTTTGTGTACTGATTGCTGATCTTGGTATAAGGTGCATATTTTTTTTTCCAATTTCCATGCCATAATTAAGGAAAAGATGTGGAAAGACAGGAACATTTTTGTTTCCGCCGAAGATAAACAGTATTGGAATTTTAGTAAACTTGTAGCTTGGAAATTATTTGACATGAAAGAGGCAAATTATTAGGCAACTTACTTTTTGAAATGTCATGCGATCAGTGTTATTCATATAACACTAGTCTACTTATTAAGTACTCGTATACATTTTTAATACTCCATTTGTTTTTTAAAGATTGCTCATTTGACTTTTTATAGTATTCATATAATTTATGTTATTTTAATAGTCTTTTGTGATTTAAGTAAATTAAAAGATAATGTGTTCTTGTTAGATTCTTGTCAATGATTACCTCTAATTTTTATAAGTTTTACAAGTTCATAATTAGAAATATTAATTGTTACAAAAATGAAATGACAAATATATCTAAGTGAAACGAGTCATCTATATATATAAGAACCGAGGAAGTAATAAGCGAGGGCTGAACGATAACATTATTCTTAGAATCTTAGATCATAATTTTCTTTTCAACTTTTAGTGCAGCCAAGTATCAAATTTAAGAAATACATATACGAAATATATACTAATGGCCTAATGGGTGTAAGGATCATACGGATAAAGGTTTCAAGACCACAAATACCCGGCCTTTTTTTTAATGACACACAAATATTTATTTATTTATTTTTTTATTGACACAAAAATACTTTTTTTTGTTTTTTTTTTTTTTTTTTTTTTTTTTTGAAACACACACAAATACTTGTTTTAGTTGCATTACTTTGTAAATTTGTTAGTAATATAATTTAATTATGTGTTCTTTTCAAGTACAGAGCTTCTATATAGTATTAGTGTAAATGGAACCGAATTTACAAGGAACTCGAGTATCCTACAAAACCAATAACTCCACATTGACATTTTATTCCACAATAAACAAATCATATCAGTGGAAAGAAACTGGGGAAGAAAAGTACATTAGAAATTTGAGAAAACGAGAAGTTATGTTACAACCGTCCAAGTGCTTCGGATTAGCCGCAAATCTTGTATGAAACGGACGGTTTTAAAAGATACGATGACCGAGTCATCACTAAAGAGTTACGGACTTCTACTTGTAAAGTTGTAAACGACGTTAACAACTTGATAAGTATAACAATGACTAAGACACCAATCACACCATACCCTTTACAAATCACAACGAGTTAGGTGAGTAATACAAAATAAACTTACTCCGTAAAATTGTAGTTCAAATAATAATTATTTTTAAATCAAGTATGATTGGTAGAGATAGTAAACAACTCATTTTTCGAGCTTCACACTAGTACGGTAAAATGTGGTTTAAAATGAATCATTAATTCTCCTAAATTATCAACTTTTTTTTTGTAAAGTTAACTTCTACAAAGTAAATATACAAGTTAACTTCTACTTGTATATAATTGTTTCAATTTACATTGTTATTTTAAAACATTGTTTTTTCTTTTAATTTCCTTGGTTGTTTTATAAATTTTATTATTATTTGTACGATCATTTTCTTTCATGATTCAACTTTTATATATTTGTAAATTTATGTTCTAATTATTTTCTTGTAAACTATAAATCGTGTAAAAATATATATATATATATATATATATAAATAAGGGAGTTTTTTCCCGAGTTTTTAGAGCGCAACCTAGGATTTTATTTTTTAAAAAATTATTAGAGTGCCACTTAGGATTAATATTTTTAAAACGCTTCAATCAGATTATGCTACGTAAGATCAGTTTTTTTAAAGCGCTACGTAGGATTATAATAAAAAAGCGCCACGTAAGATTAATAATTTTAAAACGCTATAATAGGATTAGGCCATGTAAGATTAATTTTAGAGCGTCACATAGGAAAATGTTATATTTTAGCCAATGAAAAAAAAGAATTGCAATTTATTTTTGATCAAAAATTTTATATTAATTATAAAATAAAATTAGTGCGTTTTTTGTGTGGCTGGTCATATCGTGTGACTGGATGAGACACACCCAAACACTGACCGAATAATCCTAATCGATTGAGTAACCCTTGATCAGCCAAGTAACTCCTGACCAAGTAATCCCGACCACACGGTGTGACCAGCCACATACGAAACTTTGTAAAATAAAATATTATTTATTTACATTACGAATTTTATCTAAATATAAGAAAAAAGTTAATAATTCATTTTATAATAAAAAATTTAAGTATTAAGCAAGCGAATATCACAAAGTTTATTAGATAAATATGTATTTAGTAAAATATTTTATTTGAAAAATACAAATAAACCGTGCATCGCACGGGCTTCATCTAATTATGTTATATTTCACCTTAATTAACATAATATGAATTTCAAATTTGACTAAAAATTGTCATATTTTTACACTCCATAAACTTTATTTCAAATATCAAAATACAAGTAATGTGTGTAAAGGATAATAATGACTAAACATCATTATCATTCCATAAACTTTATTTCAAATATCAAAATACAAGTAATGTGTGTAGAGGATAATAATGACTAAACATCATTATCATTATTAATTAATGTTTATAGTTTATTGTGTAATCCCTTGATTTACTCATTAGGTTGATTGTCAAAGATTTTCCTAATTATTGTCTAATGTACCTAGATATATACTCTAATGTATCTAGTCATAGTATAATGTTTACTTATGTACTATAAATAGTCTTGTATACTCTTCAATATAATTAAGCTTTCCAACAATCTCTTTCTCATAACTCTATCATGGTATCATGAGCTTTTGATCCATCTTTTCTTATTTCTGCTACTACAATGGCTACACTATCAAAACCCTTTGCCGACGCCGACAAATTATGGTGACCATATCAAACTTCTTTCTCGGAAAGCTTCAACCAAAATCACACTTTTCGCTCAACCCTTTTGGCACCCCATATTTCATATATCAAGAGATGTCAATGATCATGGTATCATGAGCTATTGACCCATTCTTTTCCCGCTGCCGCTACTACATCCTCTTATAATGGTGACCATACTTGTACTCCTTTCCCGAAAAGCTTCAAACCCAAATCAAACTTCTGCTCAACTCTATCGACAACCCGTAGTTCACTACCAAGAGATGTCAATTATCAATTTTTTTTTTCTCCAAACCCCTTATGGAGAAATAATCACTTTTGGCTATCTACCAAATATTGCCAAACATAAACTCAATTCCCAAAACTCCTCTCTTTCAATGATGATTATATGTGGCAAACGAAAAAAGTGTAAATAAATAACAACTTTTTTTCATATATGGGTCCCACGATTTTTTATTTACAGTATTTACCAAAATGCCAATAACTAAACAAAATTGTTGAATTATTTACGATTCTGCCACTTGATAAACAAAAGGAGATTAATAGGGGCTTCCTCTTATATAAATAAGCGATTAATATTGTATGTCTAAATATCCTATATTATGAAAAGGATTATATGACCATATTTAACATTAAGCCAAAAAGTTTATCCTAAACTTTTTATCAATCATCTGGGCATCGACCGAGCACAAAACTATTCACTAATAAATAAAGTCGATCTCGCAGCCAGGCCACGAGACAACGACAATTGACATTTCAGTTTTTCGCCAAGTGTCACGCCACGTGGACGACAAATAGCTATTATTGTTATACATATGATGCTAAGTAAGTGAAGTTTGGATCGATTTTTAAAGGCAAATAACTATTATAGTGTTTTATTATCGATATACTTCTAATTTTTCATATATACAAAATTAATAATAACTTTTAATAAATATCTTATAACTCTTTACTATTTTCATCATAAAATTTGTTTTAAAAAATTCTATAAAAATAAGATCCATTTATAATATATTTAATTTATTTACAAATATAACAGAGAATCAGTGAAAATAAGTTTTAACCAGGAAAAATAATATTAGTTTTGGTTAAAATACTTTTGGTTCAGTAAAAATAATTTCAGTTTAGTATGTCTAAATATTCCGCATTATTAAAAATGATTATATGATCGTATATAACATTCAATCCAAAAAGTTTATCCTAAACTTTTATCAACCATCTGGGTATCGCCCGTAAATTAAACAAAACTAGTATATATATATATATATATATATATATATATATATATATATATATATATATATATATATATATATATACTCAATCTGTTGTTTAATAATAATAATAATAATAAGAAGAAGAAGAAGAAGAAGAAGAAGAAGAAAAATTTGTAAAAGAAAAAACCCTTTTAAATGCACAATTTTGCGAAAAAAACCTTTTATAAGCTTTATTGTAAATGAAAACCCTAAGTGAATACTATTTTGTTTAAAACAACCTAGTATGACTAGTTCACTTAATTAACCTCTAATTTTCATTTAACTATTTAATAATTATTTCCTCAAAAAAAAAAAAAAAACTAATTAATAATTAAATTAATTTATAATTTTTATTTCTTTTTTATAAAAAAAAACACCAG